GTTTAATCGCGCGCGCAACTCGTGCGGACATATCAAGTCAAGGGTGGGCAGAGCCAGCAAGAGCCAGGCATTAATGCACCTGAGTTCTCTGCAAGAAAGCAGACCCACCATCAAAAGTCCTGAAAAATACCTGGTAATTAAGGACCAGTGTTTTATTTATTAGAAAAATATTACTAGTAAAATACTAATAAAAGGAATGTTAACATTGAGTGGCAACATTCCCCCTTTGAGGAGTAAAGTTTTCTGGCATTAGACAAAGTAAAGTAATAAAATAGGGGGAATCAGGCCGATCAGGGCACATTGCCACTTCTAAGGTTAATATTTTTGTTTTTATAGGGTAGATGATGAATTGTATGCTCCATTACCACTTACAGACGACAGTGAAAGTGAGGTACCGTTAATTCTTGGGTTTCACAACGGTGATTATGCAGTGAATCTGACGAGGGTCAACCTCAAATGTATTGATGCTTATGCTGTACTGGAGTGAGAAAATGATCCGAAATTCCTCGTGTTTGCCACCAAACACAAGGCTAATACATAAAACGAACAATCGACTCGCTCACTCTGATAACTCTGTTTTGTTTTAGAGTTGACCCCCCCCCCCCCGTCACTTTTGTGACGTCTTCCATGAACCAGACATGTACCCTTTCTGCATCCGTGAATATTTCAAGGATATAAATATGAATGAAATCAATCAGAGCATAACAATATTCTTTTAAATTTTTATTGTACTGTGACACAGTTATAGTAACAAAATGGTTTTTAACAACAATGATACATCTTTGACTCAGGTTATGGGTGCACAGTCATACTGTTATCCCGCATTTGAATTAAACAATTGAACACAAATCGTATTACAAGTATACTGTAGTGCTGGCAATTGTACGTAATGCTTATAGTGATGATACTATTTAAGAAAATGTTTTTATTGTGTGCCAGGTTTATACCCAGTGTCAAAGTTCATGTGTTTATGCATGCACCTCATTACACACAAGTGCGCATCACGTGAAAGTCGGGAAATTTGACCAGCTCCTGAGCGGTGGACATTACTTTTATCGTTGAGTTGCGGAGCAAAAACTATGCATCGTTGAGTTGCGGATCAAAAATTATGCATCGTCGAGTTGCGGATCAAAAATTATGCATCGTTGAGTTGAGGATCAAAAATTATGCATTGTTGAGTTGCAGAGCAAAAATTATGCAACTTTCTTTTTGTTTTTTTTTTCTTTGACACATGATATATAATAAATACTTATTGACTGGGACTTACCAGAATCAGTATGTTTTTTGGACCCGAGACTGTCAATTTTCTCCATGCATGCATGTCAATAAGTGTTAAATGTTTTTCAAAATCTATAAACATTTTTTAAATCGTGATAATCAAAATAATAAACAGGTGTCAATTTGAAGCAAAACAAATATGAAGGGCATAAACTCTTTATCTGTTCCTTTTAGAATGATACTGCAATTAATACACAGAATTCTCCACTAAAAACGGAAGATGCTAATTATATTGCTTATGAGGGAGATCAGGAATGCCGACTAATACAAAATCTTGAAAGTTCTGAAAACCCTTATGTTGTACCATTGGTCATGAACTGCAGAAAAGATAATGCAGAACTTGTCAGCAAAAAATTGCCTTGTAGAATACAGAGAAATTTCTTTGCTAATTAATATCGATGCCCTGGAAGAAAGAGGAGACATTTATTGATGATAATGGTGCTTGGATCCAAAAAGCATGCAAGACAAAATACTTCACCACTCAAAAGACTGATAGTAATCGAGTTACCGGTTTAACTAAAGTGTCACAAGAGGAGCAAGGGGACATTACTGTACGCAGGCGCAGTTACGTATGTAAGTCTTGCCCAACATTTCACAAGCTTATGGTTACCATTGAATATGGCAGAGAAATCGAAATGTGGTATCCTGTAGTCTTTTTATTCGAGATGTTGTATGCAATGACTTGCCTACGGTGATATTGTTCACTAACCAACAGATTGACAATCTTGTAAAGTTCTGCTGTCTAACCAAAAAAGGTTTTGTTTCAGAATTAGGAGTTGATCTAACCTTTCAATTGGGACGCTGGTTGCAACAAAGCGATAACGAATGCTGTTATCGGTTACAATCATGCATTTGATTCCCAGTATTGCCTTGCTCGCCATGAGGCATATTATTAATGAAGTTTAATATGTTGAAATAACTGGCATCCAAACCGCAGTTTGAAAAAAACCCCAAGAAACCAGAAAACAAAAACACACAGCAGACAGGTTTTTGTGGCATATATTATGGGCAAGGAAGTGCTCGAACGGTCTAGAGGCTCTCGCTAACCTACGTTTTACCTAGAGGAACAGGCGGACCTCTAGATTGCAGAGGGAGTGACGCGGCTCTGTGCATGTTGTTCAGCGACATATGAGTCCTGATGGTCTGGGGACCACCATTGGTATACTGAGACAGTATGGGTACTCAAGACCTGACAGAGCATGCAAAAACTAGGTTTTTCATAGAGGAACAGGTGAACCTCTAGATAACAGGGGAACAGGCGAACCCCCGTTCAGGTCAGTCAGCTCGTTGATGTTGAGTACTAGTTGAACTGGTGAACAACTGATGGTAACTCAACTGAAATGACTCACCCATCGAGTCTCTAGGTCAGGTCATTAGGTCGCACTGCGACCTGAATGACCTGTAAAAATACACTTCACGTGGCGAAGTGTTGTCCAAAAGGACAGCACTTCCCTGCCATTATTTATTTATTTCATTCTGCAATTCTGGTACAGATGTATAAGTTATATATTTACATAAATGATTAAGCAATCAGGCTGAATTGGATTGTATAGATCGAAAGCATGTTGATCTATAGATTGTATAAGCAGGCAGGTTCGGCTCTGGGGTGGTGGGTGGGTTTTTTGTATACCAGGTTTTGGTAGCTTACGCTCTGGTTAGAATATTGCGAATGAGGCGTGAAGCATATAGCCTGTAACTAAATGTCTTTCACTAAGAATGGGGCCATTGTATTGTTGCGACGGATATATTTAAGAAGAGTTGATTGATTAAACCCAAGTGCATGACATGTTCACGTGCCTTTTGGGGCGTCTCGAAGGGGGCTCTCTTGCAGATCTCCAAGTGGCTGTTGCCAAGGTTCAATCTCTTTTGGCAGCATGATTAGAAAGTAATGCCTTGTTTTCCAAGTGCAGTAGTTTTGATGACAGATTGGCATTTCCATAAGGCAAATAGAGTCTTCTTTGACATATTACTTCATTAACCACAATTTATTGCGTTGCATAAATTGCATATTTAATGAAGTTTAATATGTTGAAATAACTGGCATCCAAACCGCAGTTTGAAAAAAAACCCAAGAAACCAGAAAACAAAAACACACAGCAGACAGGTTTTTGTGGCATATATTATGGGCAAGGAAGTGCTCGAACGGTCTAGAGGCTCTCGCTAACCTATGTTTTACCTAGAGGAACAGGCGGACCTCTAGATTGCAGAGGGAGTGACGCGGCTCTGTGCATGTTGTTCAGCGACATATGAGTCCTGATGGTCTGGGGGCACTGGACCAAAAGGACAGCACTTCCCTGCCATTAATTGACGATCTGTGCGAAGTACAGATTATTTCAGCCACGGGAAGCCGAGTCGAATTAAGCTTATGCATATTTATTAATATGCAGAGCAGCGTTCGCCTATGAGCAGTAAATGATGGAGGAGCAACTGGATAAAAGAGGGGGAGGGTCTGGAAACGATGGGGAGTATAAGTAAACTGTGTAAAACAATTTTGGGTTTCTGAGCCCATTAGTTTGTTAGCCACTACAGGGTGTGGTCCATAGAGGGGGTCCATGGACCCGGTCCATAGTCCATAGAGAGGGGGTCCATGGACCCGGTCCAGACAAGGGGTCCATGGACCGGGGGTCCATGTTTTGTACTTTCCCTCCAAGGAGACAATACATATATTATCATAAAATAACTTGTATATAACTGATATCTGTGGCAAATAAAATTATCTTATCTTATCTTTCATATACAGTATGATACTTACAGAAACTAATTTCTAAAAAGAAGAGCTCTGTGAAGAAGCATATTCAATCCCAAAAGCATATCAAATTGAAGGATGTCATAAAGAAGAGCAAAAAGAAAGACCAGAACATCAGAGACCTCATGGCAAGAAACTGTCATTAATAGGTCGTTAATTAATAGTGTTTTTGACATTAGTTGGTTTATATTCAATTTAGGACAATAGACAATTTAGGTTATTTAGATTTATTCAATTTTGCATGACATATAACATGTTGTTGTTGTAAAAGTTTTTTAGTTAGAAATACATTTATCGCAAAACAACACTCGGATTGTGAGTTTGTCTACAGGTTATGGGCCCAGAACATGCTGTTAGGATCGTTTAACAATCCTACGTCGCCGGTTTTTCGATAGAACTTCAGTTTGCTGAACAAATAACACTTGTAATAATAACTCGTGCTGGTCTGTTGATGACTAATGGAGGAAAAATGGTCAATCGACAAGTTAGACGGGAGCAATTGGAGTACTTGGAAGTTTCAAATGAAGCATTTGCTGTTGGCGAAAGGGCTGTGGGGTTTCGTAGACGGTTCGGAAGAGGTAGCAGGGTCAGCTTCGGGAGAAACGGCGGCACAATTTTGTTCGAAAGCGCAAAGGGCGTTCTCAACAATTGTTTTAGCAATTAAATCAGCTCCGCTATATTTGGTTAGCTCATGTGAAAATCCGAAGCAAGCGTGGGATGCACTAAAGAATAATTTTGAGCGAGATACGTTGGCGAACAAACTGTTTTTAAAGAAAAGGTATTTCCGAACAGAGATGATAGAAGGAACTTCTATGGAGAAACATTTGAAACACATGAAGGACATCGCGGATAAATTGGCAGCTTTCGGTGCACCTATCTCTGAAGAGGTCAAGTTGTGACTTTATTAGGAAGTTTGCCGAGAAGTTATGCAACTCTTGTAACCACCGCCTTAGAAGCCATAGTTGATGATGTGAAAATGGATTTCGTTCAACAAGCTCTTATGCATGAAGAATCGAAGCAAGGACCTAAGAACGAGTCAGTTAAGAACGAGTCTGCCTTAATGGGAAACCGAAAGAAAAATTTTCAGGAAAGTCGGACGTGTTTTAAGTGTGGAACTGTTGGCCATATTCGTCGAAATTGCCCTCAGGAAAAAGCGAGATATACAAAGCCAGTGCATAAATCAAGACATGGAGCAAAAGTCGGAAAGACCCAAAACTCTGATAGTGAATCTGAAAGTGATGCTTGTGTATTTACAGTGTCCGAGGGAAATGCAAAGCTTTTTGATTGTCATTGGTTGATCGATTCTGGAGCTTCAAGTCATATGACGAAGGAAAAAAGTGTTCTGGTGAGTTATCAACAGTTTGGGGAACCCGAAAGCGTTGCCTTGGGAGATGGTCGTGTTGTACAAGCGTTGGGATATGGTAACGTGCATATGGATATGTTGTTCTCTGGGAGCAAGTCGAAGCGAGGTGTAATGTGTTGAATGTTCCAAAGCTTACCTCTAACCTGTTTTCCGTTAGAGCTGCCGTTGCGAAAGGTAACGTGGTGAAGTTTCGTGGTGATAAATGCTGGATAAGTGATAGTGGATCATTAGCCAACAAGTTGTACAAGTTGGATTGCGAAGACGTCTCAAATGGACACGCTACGTTAGCTTCACAGGAAAGTAGTGATCTTTGGCATCAACGGTTGGGACACGTACACGAGCAACGACTAAATAGCTGCATTAAGAATAATATTGTGAAAGGAATTTGTTGTGAAAACGTTGACAAACTTTCGTTCTGGAAGCATGTACATAGCGATGTGTGTGGTCCAATGCAAACAGAGTCATTTGGTGGAGCAAGATATTTTGTGACGTTCACTGATGATTACTCTCGATGTTGTGCAGTGTACTTTATGAAGCAGAAGTTAGAAGTTCTGGAGAAATTTAAAGAGTTTGAGGATGCAGCAACGAACGAGGCTGGAAGATCGATATGAATATTGCGAACTGATAATGGTGGCGAGTATCTTTCCACAGAATTTCAAGATTATCTCAAAGCGAAAGGTATTAAGCATGAATTAACTGTTCCATATTCTCCTCAGCAAAATGGTGTCTCTGAACGTATGAATAGAACGTTGGTCGAGTCTGCTCGGTCGATGATCGCACAAGCAAGATTACCTAAGATGTACTGGGCTGAAGCCATTTCCACGGCTGTTTATGTAAGAAATTGAATGCCTACGACAGCAATCAAAGGGAATACAACGCCGTACGAGCGATGGTATGAAAGAAAACCGAACGTCAGTCATTTACGTGTGTTTGGGTGTATAGCCTTCGCCCATGTTCCAGACAGCAAACGACAAAAATTGGACAAGAAAGCGGAAAGACTACGCTTTGTTGGTTATTGTCGTACATCGAAAGGATACCGTTTGTTCGATGAAATCAAGCGAAAGATGGTCGTCCGAAGGGATGTCGAGTTCAATGAAAACGATTTTGGCGACAAGGATGAAATGATGACGACAAAATCTCAAGATCAAACAACAGAAGACGTGAAAGAAGAAACGGTGGAATTCGAAGAAGAAAAAGTGGGAGAAGAAGTATCCACAGAACCAAGGACTTCTGGTAGAACACGGAAAGCCCCTGTCAGATATGGATACGACGAGTATGCAGAGACTGCTAGTCCTGTACATCCCGCACGTCATGTCGCTTACAATGTATGTGAGATAGAAGAACCCTCGTCCATGAGCAAAGCTAAAGAAAACCAACACTCGAAAGAATGGATGGCTGCTGCTGACTCAGAATACAATTCAGTGATGGAAAACAAGACCTGGAGACTTGTACAGTTGCCACCTGGTCGAACAGCTATTGGTTGCAGATGGGTATTCAGAGCGAAGCACGATTCTGATGGAAGAGTAAATCATTTCAAAGCGCGACTAGTTGCCAAACGATATGCTCTTGGACTACAACTTATTGTTTAATTTAACATTTAAAAAATGTCAAAAAAGTGGGAGTGTCATTAATAGGTCGTTAATTAATAGTGTTTTTGAGTTAAAATAATTTAAAAGTTATCAGTCTAAGTTTAGTCTTTCCTTACTACGATCTAGTAAAAGTTTCTTTAAGGAAATCTTAAAGTTTTTAAAATCCATACATTTAAAATCATCAGGAATATCATTAAAAACTTTTGCAGCATTATACTGAAAAGTATCTTCGATGTAAGAGTGTTTGAGGAAATGCAAGTTTGGCAATACTGTAATCGATTCTTTCTTTAATTAGTAACCAACCAATTGAGACCACATCTCCAGCTTTAGAATACCTGCCATTAACAAAACCAGCAGCCGAGTTTTGAACTTTTTGCAGCTGTTTTAAAAGGTATGCAGGCAATGACCCATATAGACAGTTGTAATAGTTTAACCATGCCGGTGATGGTATACATTTCATCCCAAGTTACTGCACTTTCTATATTTTGAGTTGTGATGTCACTAGTTTGACTCGAAATAGTGGCAGTAACAAGAAAATCTGATATCTTGGTGATCCTTTAATAAAATTCAAAATTGAATTAGTGGATTAAATGAAGTGAACAATTTGGCTTGTTTATGTGGTTGTTATGGCAACACACTTGTCCCCAGTCCCTTCTCTTCCAATTTCTTCATGATCCATTTCCAACGAAATAAATAGCAATTTCTGCAATTATCGCTTATTACTATAATTAACAATTATTCGCCGAAGGCGAGGTGATTATCGGTGAATAAAAACCGAGATGAAGTCGAGGTTTTTATTCACCGATAATCACAGAGCCTGAGGTGAATACTTGTTTTAGTATAATTTCATAGGTGATTATTTGGAAAAAAATAAAAAAATGCACATTTCTTCGTCTTTCAATTGACAAAACGGCTTCGGCCGCCATTTTGAAAATCGTTGAGGTGATTATTACGCGATAATCACCTAAGCGATTTTCAAAATGGCGGCCGAAGGTAACCAATCAGCGTGGAGAATTTTCAATAATCACCTATGTAATTATACTAATATGTGTTGGTGTTGTTATCAGTTTAAACAGTTATAATGTGCAAACATCCTTTGCAAAAGGTCTACAGGAAGAGATTTGTGAAAAGGAAGAGAAGAGACTAGGGACTAGTGTTTTGCCATGACAACCTGCCTGACATGACCTGCCAAAAATATTCATATGGGGTGACCCCACTAAGTGTACCAAGTTTCATTGAATTTTATTAAAGTGCCTATGACACGAATTTCACCCCAAAGGTTTATGGTTGCATTGTAAAGATCACTTAAAATGACTTAATAATTTCTTAAATATAATTTTGGTAATTTGCTCCCTTTTCAAGATATTCAACTTTGTTTCATATGCAAATATCACAGGTGTGACATCACATAATGCGTTTTCAGAAAAGTATAGTTTTCTTGACGAATACATATCTAAAAATTAAAAAATTGCCCTTGTATATGTATTAACGAGGGATATTTACATAAAAAACAAAGTTGAATATCTTGCAAAGGAAGCAAGTTACCAAAATTCTATAAAATAAATTAAGTAATTTTAAGTGATCTTTCAATCAATCACAAACATTTGCGGGATATTTCGTGTCATAGGCACTTTAAATTCTCACCAAGATAGCAGACTTTCATGTTATTGCCATTATCTCAAGTCAAACTTGTGACATCACAACTCAAAATATAGAAAGTGTGATAACTTGAGAATGAGATATGAAAAACTGTAAACGTCATTCTTCGTTATTCCAGCAGTACTTTTTAGCAAAACAAAAAAAAAGTGATGTAAAACTTTCATTTCATAAGCACTTTAAGAGGCCGTCTCCATAAGAACCGACCACTGATTTTTTTTCTCGAAAATCAACCTTGCCTCTAACTTTTCTTATTTATTAGACTTAACAGCATACTACAAAATCACATTCAGAATTTTTCATCTCACGTTATTTCCCGAGATTTTTAAACTTTTGTTCCTTAGGGCTATAATTGCGATCTCAACGCTTTGGCTAACGTAAAAATACCACATCTGTATCCCTCAAATGCACAGACGCACGGCCCGCTTTCCAATTTTTATGTTCATAATGTGAAAGTTAAGGTCTTTGCTCGAATATATCAATCATCTACACATTTCAAACCCTTTTAAAACGTCTTTTTACACGAGCGTGCTTCAAGGTACTTTTTCAACATGGGCTAGGTCCTCAAAATTACATGTTTTTACGATCGGATTTTGCAAAAGTGGCACTACCCACAAACTTCTACTTAAATATTTTTTAAAATACTAATTGTAAATTATAATTCCATCAAAACAAAAATTGGGGGATTTTTTTCCAAACTATTTTAATCGACGCATGAAATTTACAATTCTTTGGTGCTCACTGGAAATGACGCTGACAACCCATTCATTAAAAGTTCGTGGATAGTTTACAAATTCAACACATGCTAAAAGTTTTGAACATAAAAACACTGCTTGAGTTGCATAAATCTTATGTAGACCACCTGTATGTTTCAAGCAGCCGAAAACATTGTTTCAACAGTCGCACCACGCAGGTAATAACGTAATGTAAACAAATGTGTCTATATAATTATTCGCATGTCGCGAAACCCCGCTGCGAGTGAAACATTGTGCATTATAACGCCAAAAAATGCTAAATAAGATCTCCCTAAAACATAAGTGACTCATATTGTAGTTATACACCACAAAGTTTATCAAATTAAGATAAAAAATCAATCAAAAATACAAAATATTCGGCCGTCTATATTTAGGATACTCTGAGTACGAGATTGTAAACAAACAGTGACCCATTGCGTTATATACTAAATTTTTATCTAGACAAGAGGAAGGATATCTTTTACCGGCACAGCTAGAGGAGCATAATAAATTAGTATAATTGCAAAGTTTGGTGCGAAATGTTGTAAAATATCGAAAATAAAGGCTCGCGAAGTTTGAAAAATTTGTCACAAAGGCTATAGTTTTGTATTTATACGCGGCCAAATTGATACCGTTTTGAGAACCGGGTATCGATTTTCGCCGCGTAATAAATATACAAAATTTGTAGTTATACTAATTTTATGATGTTCTTTCCAGCTGTCTATCTCCAATTTCGCAATGGATCCATCTATATCTAAATAAGGGAAGCCTCACATATCGATTTTTTCCACAAGAAACGTCATATGTTCGTTTGGGGGTGGGGGGGGGTTGGCAGCTGTGACGTTTCTCTGTAAACGTAACATCATGGAAAAAATCGATAGTTTTTGTCTTTGCAGAATATAAAAAAGAAAACAATTTGATACAAACAGCAGTCTATATATTCGTAATACCATACCTGTTCTATACCTATAGCTACATTTATATTATTACGCCTTCCTTGCATTGAAAACACTCAAATTTCAAGAAATACGTGCTAAAATTATCAATATTTTATGCAAAAAAAGTTGTTTTGAGAAACGTTGGAAATTTTGAAGTTCACATATATATTAATAAAAAAAGAGTATGTCAGCAGATGACATATTCCTCGCGGAAGCATCGCCAATAGCCGACCGAAAAAATAGTAGAAAATTACCTTATGTGTACTATAAGAACAAAATATCGATAACTATGTGTGACGTTTCTAAGGGGGGGGGGGGGGTCTCCAGAGAAACGAACATATGACGTTTCTCATGGACAAAATCGATATGTGAGGCTTCCCTAATATTTGACAATATTTTATTTCAATAAACTACACTACAGCTATATTTATAGAAAAATTGGGTCCAACTGCCTCTACAGTCTTTTTTTAAAGACCCAATTTTTCTATAAATATAGCTGTAGTGTAGTTTGTTGAAATAAGATATTTTCAAATATGACTTAGATATAGATGGATCCATTGCGAAATTGGATATAGACAGCTGGAAAGAACATCATAAAATTAGTATAACTGCAAATTTTGTATATTTATTACGCGGCGAAAATCGATACCCTGTTCTCAAAACGGTATCAATTTGGCCACACATAAGTACAAAA